TAATTATTCATTAACGAAGGAACCGTATTCTAAAGTGTTACCATTTGCGTGTTTTGTTATTGCCAGAGTATCCGAAGCTCGTGTAAAGGATTGTCCGTCTTCTGAACGGGGGCGGGGAGCAGCAGCTCATTTGCATTTAAAGGGACACACAAAAACGGCGCGATTTTGGTCACACCCAAAAAGGGGCAACTTTGACAAGCTATAATAAATGATCTGGGGGGTATTTTGAGCTGAAATTTCCCAGACACATTCTGGGGACTCCATAGATTTATAATACATCTTGTGAGAATGAGCATAATATGTCACCTTTAAAGAAGACTTTTTTTTGTGTGTGTGTGAATCGTGCAGAATAAAAACTAAAATGTGCAATGACAAAGTAAACAAGGTCAATTCTGATTTCATTTTGACATTAAAGTCTCAATGTAATAGAAATGTGAACCAGATTCATCATATGCTGATACTGGTGGAGAGTTGTTTACACAGAGAAACATCAGGAATGCAACAGGTGTTCAATTATTCATACGCTGTGACCTTCTGAATAAAACATCTAAACGTCTATAACATCTAAAATGTACAATCTAACATACAACGAAAAAAACAAAAGGTTTGGAATATTAAATTTGAAGGCATCATCACAAAAGAGAGTGTGAAATAATTTCTTCATTATTTCACACTCTCTTTTGTGATGATGCTTCAAATTTAATATTTCAAACCTTTTGTTTTTTTCCGTTTTATGTTAGATTGTACGTTTTCGATGTTGTAGACGTAGTAGTGAACGTTTACTTTCTATTTCAAGAAATCTGATATAATTATAGTATATTATTTGCAGAGGCGGACAGAGTACACAGCTTCGTTACTTGAGTAAAAGTACAGATACCCCTTGCTAAATTTTACTCAAGTACAAGTAAAAGTACTACAGTCAGATGTCTACTTAAGTAAAAGTACTGAAGTACTTGTTTTTAAAAGTACTTGAGTATCAAGAGTACAAGAGTAAATTTTCTAAATATTGCATTACTACTGCCACAGTGTCAAGTCAAGTCATCTTCATTTATATAGCGCTTTTAACAATGTAGATTGTTTCAAAGCAGCTTTACAGAGATAAACATATAATTTAAGGTAACAGAGATTCTTTTGGCTTTATAGCGATTCTTGAATAATGTTATTTCCAGCTAAAGTTAGTTTTGATTGATTCACTTCCGTCGAAATGATCATTTGTTATTAAATTAGGGGCCGCTAAGACGACACCGTTCTCTCTAAATAGACTTTAAACTGAACCTGTGATAAACGCTGATGGCGTTCACATGTGCATTAAGAATTGATTCTATAGTTATGTGTGTTCGAATATATGTGTGCAGGTTTGTAATTCCCTACAAACCATGCCTAAACAAACTACTTGTCTTTGCCTATAAATTTAATGCAGAATTTTATTTTATCACTTCGGGGTAGGTACGCGAACCGTACTTACATTTATGTACAGAAACGTCCTACATGGAGTTATGAAAAATGTTAATGTTAATACCTTTGATAATCTAAAAGGAATTGGAAGTCATTTTCATCTTTTTACCATGTTGCTTTATTTAACATTTCTCACTTGCCCACAAAGCAATGCACAATGGCAACGCTCTGACAAACCTCTGCTAGAGTTTTAATGGATTTTTTGCACCCACATTTGAACCTGTTTCGTCTCTCATCTAAATCTGACCATGGAGTTGACTTTGGCGGAAAGCTGAAGGTGATTGCTGATAGGCTGTCCCAATCAGTGGCACCTGCACAATCCAATCACGTTTGAGAGGGAAACAACAAATTGAGGGTTTCCGAGATTTTTCTTTTTTCCTTTTTTTTTTTTTTTTTAGAAGTAACGGGTACTCACGGTTATGGATAGAAATGTAGTGGAGTAAAGAGTACAATATTTGCCTCTCAAATGTACTTGAGTAAAGTCATGAGTAATCCCCAAAAATGATACTCGAGTAAAGTACAGATCCCTCAAAATTGTACTCAAGTACTGTACTCAAGTAAATGTACTCCGTTACTGTCCGGCTCTGATTATTTGATATCCTTTATTTAAAAAGTAAAATTCCATTAAACATTTTGTATGCTTCAGTAAGGGGCAGTCAGTTAAGCACTAGCGGATCAATTGGTTGGTAGATGCATCCCCAGGTTGCTATGAACTAGAAATGTGGCAACAGCTGGTGAGTTACTGTGGTTACAGTTCTGTGCCTATGACACTTTATGGGAATGTTCCTGCAATGCATCTTCTGCAACTTGCTTTGAATGAAAGCATCTGAAAATTTATGTTTAAAAAAAAAAAAACATTATTATTTTAAATGGAATTATGAAAGATCTCAGGTTAATTCATGGCACTTTTTCAGTATCAAAACCTGCACAATATTCACAAACCATCCCCAATCCAACTGAATCTGTGCTGGTATAGTGCAATGCCATGAGTATTTAAATTAATATAAATTAAAATATTCAATCAATATTAAATCGTTTTATTTCAGAGCAATCATTTTTATGTAAATTAAAAAAACAGTTTAGACAGACAGAGATAGATAGATAGATAGATAGATAGATAGATAGATAGATAGATAGATAGATAGATAGATAGATAGATAGATAGATAGATAGATAGATAGATAGATAGATAGATAGATAGATATATAGATAGATAGATAGATAGATAGATAGATAGATAGATAGATAATTTGGTAAATGCATGAAATAAACGTAATACCATTTAATTAATTTCATTTATTAAATACAATGAAATCAACCCATTTATTTAATTAATTCAACATTCTATGTTGTTAATAAGCAAAATGCTTATGTTTTCGAACCTGTCAAATATTAACAATGTACATTTAGAGTCTATGTAAACATGAACATTTACGTTTTAGAATCACACATTTATAAACAGGGGTGCACATAACTTTTTTGGTCTGGTTCTCAAGAGAGCACCTGGAGATGCTGCTTGCTTCTCACACTTTACGCGGCACACTTATCCTACAAGCAGCCTAAATGTAAAATAACACTATTTGTTCACTGTAGAAATTAAATATAGGTTCATCTTTGTTAAAGCTGTATTTTATTCTATTAACATTAATGACACAGACAAGAGCAGGAATATTAGGCCGCTGTCACTTTACGACGGAATGCACGGACCAAATATCCTGACACGCATCCGGTTTCTTTCTCAACTGTTCACTTATGACGTAACCGAGAGAATACTTGCCGAGACGGGTATTTTGACATCATTTTGTATGTTTCCGTTCAAGCGCAAGTAAACGAGAAAGAGGAATCAATAGAGTGTTCGAGCGCTGTCTGAAACGTTCCTCTCTCTCTCTCTCTCTCTCTCTCTCTTGCTGCGCGCTTCGGGTGTGTGCAGATAACAGCGCGCGAGTCACGATTTCCGTCTCTGCTGCCACATTTAAAGTCGTATGAATGTGTAAATTGGCAAGGAAAAACACGTCCAAATTAGTGATGTATGTCTCGAGACCGGTCTTGGTCTCGAGACCGGTCTCGAGACCACTTTTACGTGGTCTCGGTCTTGTCACGGCCTTGACGGTCTTTGGTCTCGGTCTTGTCTTGGTCTCGGACCTCTCGGTCTTGTCTAGGTCTCGCTGTCTCAGACCGACATAGTGGTCAGGGGATTGAGCAATACAATACTACAATATCCACGACGATATCCGCAATGTATTGAAGCGCGCGTCCGAGTGAAAACAGTGCGGTGCGCGCGAGCCACGCGAGAAAACACTGTATCCGCGCCACTGATCGCAGCGGCAACGAGCACTTTGATCACTTGATTTAAAAAACACATATCATGTACAGTTTTTGATATATTAATATTTAGTAAAACACATATCAGTGACATGATGGGTTTTACCTTCATTCAGGAGATTTTGGGTAACTGCACAACTGACAGATGACTTTGAGCGCACCGCCAACGGTGTGTGTGTGTGTGTGTGTGTGTGTGTGTAACCATAGCGACAAAAACGACCAACTTTCGGATCCTGCACTTAAGCCTATAATTTCGTTTTTAAAAATATAATTATGTATTTAAAAGTTGCAGAATGGATTCATTTGGAGACTTCGAAATCAGCAGAGATAGGCAGGCAAATGCAAAACAACATTTGACAAGTTATTGCTTAGCTTCAACACTAATGTTTTTTTCCCCTCCGGTCTCGACTTGGTCTCGGTCTTAGTCTCGACTTGGTCTTGGTCTCGACTTGGTCTGTCTTGGTCTTGGTCTTGGTCTTGTCTTGGTCTCGATACCATCTGGTCTTGGTAGTGTCTTGGTCTCGGTTTAGGCGGTCTCGACTACAAGTCTAGTCCAAATGAGAAACTTTCACTCTCTGATGGTTAAACTTAGCAGTTAATCCGCGAATCATATGCGTGCTGAACCGTGGGGCCAGGTCCGTACGGATCACGGATCAACTGCAATCCGCTGCACCCCTAATAATTAATGAACACACTTATCATCATGATTGATATCTTACCAGAGATGGAGAAAAATCCTACTCCAGTAAGTAAACTTGTCCCTAACCCCAAAAATGCCCCAAATGGTGGTACTCAACAGCGCTTTCTGCTGCTCATCGTTTATTTTTTACCACACACGCGCACCAGTTATGTGCACCCCTGCTTATATGAATATTTGTAAGTTGGTTATTTCTCCTGGTGTCATCTTAGCATGTGGTGTTTGTCTAATTCTTGGAGTGAGCCTTTTATTCCTACTGCAGTGGATATCAGTCCTATCAGGCCATTGTTATTCACCTCACCTCATCTCCTCTGTCTGTTTCTTTCTATCACTCTGTCTTTCACTCTCTCTAGTCTCACTCGTGCTAGACAGATGAGATAACGCCAGCACCCTACACATTATCAAGCCATCCATCCACTGCAGCCTCACTGATATTATTACGCCCGGACATTGTGTGAGAGAGAGAATGTATGTCCACCTTGCTATCGCGCAGACACCATGCTGACAGGCCCTGATGTGCACTTACTGGTCTGGACTGGATTTCTTTGGCATACAGCGGCTGAAGGAATTCCGAATCGCCCTCCAGTTTCAGGCCTCTTTCTGTGATACGCAGGTGACCCATGCCATCCTGCAGAAAGAGGTGGACAGAAAGAGAGGAAAAGAAAGGGGGAGAGAAATACAACAGGTTAATGACATGAATGCAAAAAAGATGCTCATGAGTTTTCCTTAAAACATTTTTAAATGGAAGTCATTTGGAAGTAATTGATTAGAATTTGCCTCACTGCAATGAATGAATGAATCTTTGCTTAAACAAATATATCTTAATCTGTATTTTTGTCCAGTAACAAATTGTAAACATTCGTTAAATAATATTTAAATTACAATCAATATTACATTTTAAAAAGATACGTTTAAAGGAAGACTTTTTTTTTATCAATTAATATAAAACCTCTCAAAACTTTTTTACATTTTTGCTTAAAAAATTCCAATGAGGTAAAAAAGAATCAAATTAAAGCTGCAGTCCGCAGTTTTTCCTCTTTGTCGCCATCTCTGTTCAAAATCTGCAATTGCAGTCATTCGCGGAACTATCAACTTTCCGAGAGTTGTGCCTCGACACGGCACAGCGCGGATGAATCCAATGTTTGAGGAGAGTGTGAGGCTGTCAGTCACCGCGCCGGTGTGGATACTGACATTCAGAATCACAGGTTATTCTTTTTGGAAGTAAGACCAACATAATAATTTTCACCGGAAAATGTCATCTGAACAAGTAACATCCACTTTTGTTCTGGTTCTGACATTGCAGTAAATCGAGCTGATTAAATCTAACAATCGCTTATCATATCACGTAAAACCGTGCAAATTATACTTTGTTCTCAAATTGTTATTGTTAACAATTACATTTACAGTTACATTTAATGTCCTTCCGGTATGTATCCTTGTTTTCGCATGGGTCCGGTTGCAGTCTCTTTTTTTCTGTAGCCACTCCGAAGTCCGAACAAAATGCAAAAATGTTTGCATTTTACAGCGGGTGAATCTCTAGTTGTCACTGGTGATTGTCGTTTGAACCTTTCTGGATCCGCCATCAAATTGATAAGTTTAATTATATCAAGTGCAGTGAGAAAAGGCTATAAATCTCCACCTGCAACATCCTCACACGCAATAGCCTACTAGCCGAGACTCCTTCTTTATGTGTACAGATGTGTGTGTACAGATGTGACGTAATGACGCAAAGGCATGATCGAATATCCCGTGGAAATCCACCTATCACTGGAATTAAAAAAACACTGTTTTACAAATCTATAATCGAAAAACATCTGAGGGATGTCTCATTGACATCATATAAAGCACTGTAGAAAAAAGAAGGTTAAACAGTGTTTTAGTTTTCTTATTTTCCAATGAAAACACCCTTAAAAGAAGATACTGTATATTAATTGAGAACTACAATCATGTCAAATATTATTACTTGTTTTCAGAAAATATATATTAAATTAAAGCTGCAGTCCGTAGCTTTTTTTGGGTTAAAAATGATCCAAAATGAATTGAGAAAATACATAAAGTGTTCAAAACTATCTGCTTGCCTTAGGTCGATTCAAAACGGTAAGCTTGTAATAATGTTTTCAAACTGGGGTCCAGAACCCTCATGTCACAACAAGTTTTAAATACATTAATAAACATATAATTAAATACAAATATTTAATAATTATTTAATATAAAAAACGTGATATTGTCTTGATGACCTTTTTTAAATGATTTGAACTGGAGGATGGTTGCCTCACAAAAATGTCCAATCATTTACTGAGATATTAAAAACATTGACGGATAATTCAAAATTTTACGCTAGTTTGTCAGGAAAAAACTAAATCGAACAAGAAAGAACATATTTAAACCTAGCACCTAAACTTGCATTTTACAACTATAATCTGTTCTGTAAATGGTAGATAGGCCTATGCGGATTCACTCTTTATCTCTGGGTATGCACATGTGTGAGAGAGAGAGTATGCATACTCTCTGCCAAGTGACAGTGAAGTTTTTTTCATGCATAGCATAAACTAATGCGCTGCTTTATATACCATGCATTTGACGCATGGAGAGAAAGCAGGGGAGAGGTCATGTGGCTCACCTTACTGCGTGCGTAATATATTTACACATATAATAATATTTATAACAACTACGAAGAGCTGCACGTGCAAGTGACAGGCTTTCGGGTGCACGAGCAGTGCTTGCACATCGTCTTTGCCGCTAGAACCGCCCGCAAATTGACGATTTTGTTTGTCTCTCATTGAAAATTAACCAGGGACTTGTGCTTTCCACGTCCCATGTGAAACTGTGTTTATGTCGAACCAAGTGGAAGGTTCCTGCCAGCCAATACTTAGGGTGGCCCGCCGGGAATTCTCCCAATTCTCCCGGTGGCCACTCCGGGCCTGCACTGAGCATTAAATACATGGAAATGTGTTTTGATACAGGGTCCCAATAGCTAGCTCAGCTTGTTATTTTAACATTACAGTAAACATAGACTGTTTTCTTTGAAGTCTGAAGCCTTTGGTGAGGAATCTTTTGCCACTTCCTATCCCTCACATGGTTTTATCACCATATTTATTAACGTTCACATCAAAGGATCAAAGTGCCTGTCACAATTGTACCCTGCTTTGGTCTGCTGGCCATTTTCTTTGCACAACTGCCATTAACGTGAGCAAATATGGGGAATGAGTTGTATTGACTTCTATGAAAGTCTGTAACAAACTCTTTGAGTCATGTGGTTGCAATTTGCAGGTCTGTTTGGATTGAGAAGACACATTAGCATGTGGATAGGAATCAAAGTCAGTGTGTGGAATCACAGTGTTTACTATTTGGTACCTTAGTAGCCTATATAAAAGGGGAAGAAGAGAATCAAATAATGATAAAAAATAGACTCAAATTTCCAGAATTTTAGTCAACTAAAACTTGACAAACCAAAAAACAGGATAGGTTGACTAAATATGCCAACAAACTAAAAAGGTCATTTGATTAGGACTAAAACAAACAAAAAAAAACATTACAATTATCATCATGCTAATTAGTAGATTGTAACCAACTATCACGTTTCAAAACCAGATCCAAAACCCCCAAATTTATTTATTATTTTTTCAGTAGATGAGATTTAGTGCAGCTTGGAAGTAAAACTTGGCTTTTGTTGTGATAGAATGCAAACTAAGTAAAGATACAGGAGAAGGGGAAGGAAGGAGAATGAGATTAGGCCCCATATGATATTGAATATTTCCAGGTCTTTCTCTACACGAATCAAAGCAGTGGCGTATGTGGGCAGAGGAAAGGCAAAGACTATGATGAATTATTCAGGCATGTTTGCAGCAGCTGACAGAAAGGCCGAAAACTCTCAGGTGTGTTTCCGCACGGTACCATGCGGGAATCAACAAACCTCCTCTGGCGTGCCACAGTTTATGCAGCATCAAGGAGTAAATTGATTTCCACCACCAGTGTCACTGCACTGGCTGTTTGATATTTATTGTGGAAGAGAATGTGTGAGAGAGGAGAGAAAGAGGAGACAAGAATTGCAAAGAGGGGTCGGGTGAAAAAACAATCTCCTTTATCTGATGCTGTGACATTGAGGGGAGGGACAGTTTAGAGTGCTTTAAAAAGAAAGAAAGAAAGAAAGAAAGAAAGAAGGGAGAAAGACAGATCTTGTGAAGAAGCTATTGTGGAATTAGCAGAAAAATTACTTCTAGGTTCCAGACCTCCAAGTGTGATCATTTCCCCTTGGGCTATGATGGGACGGTTGGGACCCCCTTTCTAAAATATAAAAGCAACTGTTTATTTTCATGTATAAAGTATTGTAGATGAAATATGATTGTACATGATATATACACCTCCGCATGCTGCCAAAACAGCACCGACCCCCCGAGACATGGAGTCTGCAAGACCCCTGCAAGTGTCCTGTTGTTTCTGGCACCAAGACGTTTTGGCACCTTCAAGTCCTGTAGCTTTCAAGGTGGAGCCGCCATGGATCGAACAAGTTGGTCCAGCACATCTTACAGATGCTCAACTGGATTGAGATCTGGGGAATTTGAAGGCCAGGGCAACACATTGAACTCACCATGTGTGGCAAGTGCTTTATCCTGCTGAAAGAGGCCACTAAGGAACACCATTGTCATGAAGGGCTGTACCAGGTCTGCAACAATGTTTATGTAGGTGGCAGGTGTCAAATTTGTCAAATCACACTCCCTTTTCCAGCTTGTCGTCGTCCCACAGTGCATCCTGGTGCCATCACTCCCCCCGTTAAACAGCACACACGTACACGGCTGTCCATGTGATTTAAAAGAAAATGTGACTCATCGGACAGGGCAATCTTCTTCCACTATTCCAAGGCCCAGTTCCTATGATAGCATGCCCATTGTAGCCGCTTTCAAAGGTGGACAGGGGTCATCATAGACACTCTGATTGGTCTGCGGCTACACAGCCCCATACGACTGTGACACATTCCTCCCATAACCATCATTTTTGTGTGCCGTGTGACACCTTCTATTGGTTCGGACCATAGGGGGTAGCCTTCGCTGCCCATGCACATCGATGAGCTTGACAACACCTAGTCGCCAGTTTATGGTTTATCCCTCATCGGACCACTGTTGGTAAATTCTCACCACTGCTGACCAGGAGCAACACATAAACCTTGCCATTTCAGAGATACTCTAACCAGTTGCCTTGCCATAACAATTTGTCCCTTGTCAAAATCAGATTTATCCTGCATTCAACATGTTGATTATGAGAACTGATTGTTTGCCAACCAATTAATCTACCTAGACATTTATATGTGGCCTTGTTAGAAGATGATAAATGATATTCACTTCACCTGTGAATTTGAGTCATCAGGCTATCAATATAATAAAATAATTTGGGATTAACCCTTTAATGCATAAATGTTTCGTCAATCATTATTACATCATTGGGTCTTTACTGACCTGGATCTATATCTAACACGGATGGATCTCTAACTGCCGCAATAGTATAGAACTCTCCTGATATTTTAATAACACTTACAAAAGAATAAAATAAAGCATATTTCTACCTTTTGGAAGTTAGAAGGGTTCAGTTTGAGCAGAGGTTTTATACCATCATCACTGTCCTCGTCAGAGCTCA